GTAACTTCCCTTTGCCTCTGACACGCTGGTGGCTCTCAGGTATGGCTGTTGCTGGTAGAGGATTGATATGTAGCTGCCCAGAAGCTGTTTGTTTCCAGTGATTAACTTGGCACATCTCACCACTGAGATGAACTGCAGCTGATGTCATGATCAACAGATAAAAGGCATGAGGTGCTCCTGACAGCCTGTGAGTGAGAGTATGTGCTGATGTCTTTCTCTGGCATAAGCACTACAGCAGCTCCTCTTGGCAATCCCAAGGAAATCAGTGAAAACTTTAAAAGATTTCCCCCTTCTTCTACAGAGACTGGGGACAAAAAGCATAGTTGCTTCTTTTCTCTAATGTCTCATAGGCAGATGGGAGCAATGGATTTTTTTCCTAGTTGGTGTTATCAAATCTCCAATTAATTATGTTTCACTGCTTTAATGCATCTTTCTTAACAAATATCAGTCAACAGAAGGTAAAACACTACAGTCAGAAAGCAACCAGAATAATGACAAAAGTCACTGGAATGTCACAGGACTTGGTGAGTTATGCAGTGACAATAAACAGGGACCAGCAGCACACTGACAGGTGGTAAGCTCTGTCAGATAAGGCCACCTAGAACATGCTGATTCACTGCTTGCTGAGGTGTGCTAGAGTTGTTTCTGGACCGCATCATCTCTCATAGGTAAATTTAATTGAATAAAGAAAGCTCTAACTGGTGGAGTTATGTGGAGAAGGGGGATCATACTATTACATTTGTATTTCTTCTCCCTTTTCTTTCTTCTGGTGATGAACTCTGAAATGAGATGTTAGGGTCTTGTAGCCATCCCTTTTAAATTAACATCCTTCAGAGTTCAGCTGAGCTTTCCCTTTCTCTTCTTGTCCGTAAAAAGTTTCATTAGTGTTGGGAAAGTATTTAAAACATCTTGCAAAACTTTGAAGCCATTACCATAAAGAACTGTGGGCTTGTCAGTACAGCTGAGAATGTTCTTTAAAACTGTAGGCATTTTTTGCTCAAGCGCTCTGCAAACAATAATCATACTTGTTTCTGTCAAAGAACTCCAACTGATTTTACAAATATACTGGAATTCTGTGTCTTTGCATAGATTCATATGATTGCTTCTTTTATTCAGGTAGAGAAACCAAGATATTCAAGATATGGGGTGACTTGCACATGATCCCGTAGAACGTCAGGGACAGGAAGAGAATATCTGATTCTCAGTCTCTGATTTTGCATTGAAACTTGTTCTATGGGACAGGAAGAGAAAATCTGATTCTCAGTCTCTGATTTTGCATTGAAACTTGTTCTATATTTTATCTTTACAGTTATCTTGCAGTTAACTCATTCTTCATACTGTCTTGTTCTTCTGGCACCAAAACGTATTCATAGTCACATTTCTACATCTTCTCTAGGCTTCAGTTGCCATTGCTACTAACTGGTCCAAATTTATTTTGTGTATTTTATTTACTTTTTTCATTTGAAAAGCATTTTTTACAGTCAGGGCCAACATCATGGTGTACAATACCAGTTCATCAGGGTTTAGGAAAGGTCACTGGTGGATTAAATTCCTTCTCTTACAGAGGGGTTTTTAAACCTCTTCTGGACAATTAATTGTAAAGATGAACATATTTGACCTTTCCCACGTGCCAATGTGTTAAATATTAGCCGTGGTTGTATTTCTGGAGGGAGGATGGACAGGGATGCTGAGCATTCCCGAGGCGACAGGCGCTGCAGAGCAGCACGAGGTGGCGCTGGTGGCAGCCGAAAGGCGGTGACGGGGACGTGCCGAGCTCTGGGGAGCGGGAGCGCTTCCCTCCTCCCTAGGGATCCCCCCGGGGTCGGAGCATTTCCCATGGGTCCCACACGGTCCGTGCCGGACTGGGCATTCTGTGCTTGGAGCTTTGCAGCCGAACGCAGTGCTATGAATTAGAGAATTGATACATTACCGAAGCATCTCAGGGAAGTCTGTCCTTACCAATCTTCAGAATTGATGGCAATTCAGTTATTTCCCAGTAAGAACCAGTTGCTTCTTCTAGCTCGGGAGTGATGAAGCACAGTAGGAAGCCTTGTTCCATCATTTATTATGTGGAATGTTAGCAGAGCTTCTGGCACATCTGCTCTTCAGGCATTCCTTGGTTACCCAAGCAGGGAGCAGGTTTTTTTGTCACTAGTTGCAGATACTGGCTTGTAGTGGGGAGCAGAAATAAGCAACTTGCAGACCTACAACCTCATTCTGTCAGTTCTCAGATCAGTGGAGTTCTGTGGGTTGGTATCAACAATATGAAAAATCAGACCCTGCTCTCATCCTAGGACTTTGCAAATGGATAGGTCTTCCAAGCTAAGAAAAGAAAATTGAATTGTTGACTTGTGGCTCTTTGAAATATGGGGGAGATAAAAGCTGAATTCTAAAAAATAGGACTATGACTATAATAATAAGAAAAGATTGTATGGAGACTGAACTCCATAACTGTTTTAGATATACTAAAACAGAATAAGCAAGTTGTTACTCTGGATACATAGCTAAGCCTCTAAAAACATTCTATGATTTCACTTCTACTTTAAGGATAATGACAACAAATAAATTACAATGGTGTTCAGTCTCAGCACACTCAGAAGTGACTTTCCTTTTAGACAGATATAAAACCATAACTCTTTCCAGTCCCCATAGTTGTAGTAATAAAATAAATTAGACGACAGAAAGGATTACATTGCACTTCATGTGATTATTTTACAAACCAGCTTTGCTGAATCTTCTCCATTTTCTGTGCATCATCGGCCCTGATAAATGACTTCTCACTGGCCTCAGACTTGCCTATGTGACAAGGCACTTCTTTGTCCTAAAGTAATCTGAAATTCAGGGTTTTAATGTTCAAATCACTTGAATGTTAAGAGGAAAAGTGCTGCAGAAATAGCTACTGAGTTGTAGGCAGTGTAATCTAAATGTAATGCACTGTCTTATGGGCAGGGACAGATGAATGCACATAACATTTTGTGCTGTCCTCAGCCATCCTTTTTTTTTTTTTTTTTGTATTGCTGGTTTTTTTCATCTAGGGTAGTTTGTAACTAGGAAAAGAAACTAAGTAACTCAGTTTTATTAATCAGAGATGATGTCCCTGCTAATAGTAGCCAGAGCTTCTTGTGTTACTGTTTAAAAGCACAGGAATGTCAAAAGTGCAGCGCTGGACAAATTTTCATGTAAAAAATTTTCCTGAGGTCTTAATTTCCATTTCTAATGTAACACCCACTCCCTGAGATGGAAGCTGATTGTGCTTTAAATTGCTGTGTGCTGCCTGTGCAAGCCTTTAATGTACTCAGGAAGGCGAAAGGAGCCACAGAGCTCCAAGAGAAGAGCTCACTGTGGTGTTCTGTGGTCAAATGAAGCCCATCCAGCCACAGTTGCTAAATGTTAGTACCAGTGATCATGTAACCACATGGAAAATGGTTAAACAGCTGGCAGCTAGCCCTGTGTATGTAAGAAGTTGTCAGCTGGCTCCGCCTGGCTTCTGCCCACTGTAAACTCATGTTCTTCTCATATCTCTGAGTATGCTCTAATAAAGGAGGACCGAGGACCTAAGGAACACTCCCTATCACAAATTCAGATTCTAAAGTTCTCTGTGCTTCAATTCAGCACATTCTAAATGCTAAGATAAACAAGATTTTGTTTTTAATTTTCAGAAATTTGTATGAAATGTGATAAAGAAAAATGTGATAAAGAATGGGCCAATATAGAGTAACATCTTTGATACCCTGGAAAATGGTCTAGAGTGCACCTGTAGGAAATTTGCAGCTGTAGGAAATTTGCAGCCAAGGGGAACACAGCTGGAGGCTGTTTCTCCAATGAGCTGGAGGAATCAACCAATACAAACTTAATAAAAGTTTATTAAGGCAAATGCAAAGCCTCTGGTAGTAGGACCTGGAATCCCGATGAGCAGCAAATCGCAGGTGAGTCAGCAGAGTGCCCTTGCAGTGCTGAAGGCTGTGGTAGTGAGAGGGAAATGTTTGTTCCCTCTGATTGGCACCTATGAGTTTGTATCTGGAGTGCTGTCTTTATTTTGGGAGCCCTTTAGCACAGGACTTGCAAATATCTTTGTAGGGGCCCTTGGGATGAGGGTGGTTGGAGTATGGAAGCCCCAGATGTAAAGGCAGGCTGGAAGAGCTAGTTCAGCCTGGGGAGAAGGGGCTACGGAAGAATTAAGTTGCAGTCTTCTACTAAGTAAAGGAGTATTACAGAAAGGATGCAGCCAGATTCTTCTCATCAGTGCAGAAGAAAAAATCAGTGCAGCAAGAGAAATTCTGCAGGAACAAAATGAAAAAAAATCCTCTGACTAGGGGAATGGTGGAGTACTGTAACAGCTTACCAGAGGACTGGAAACACTGTCCTTGGGGGTTTTCAGCATTCAGCCCTTGGCCACTTGATCCAACTTTCAGATTGTCTCTCCTTTGAATAGGAGGTCAGACTAGGTGAGCTTCACAAGTTGCTCCAACTTATTTTTTTCTATGGTTTTACAAATACGGGAAAGCTGATGGTTGATCACGTCCAAGGCTGAGGTGACAGTGGGTTTCTACTCCCTTGGCAGGTTATTGATAGAAGATTACTTGCATATGTTTTGTTATTTGCTATCATGGCATTTGTTGTTCATACGATTAGTGCAGATTATTTCTCATATGTGAGAGTGCTCACATGGGCACCAATTTACAAGCCCACTGACACAAACAGAGGTTATTTGTTTATCTTTTCTGTCCACATCTCATGAACTGTTTTAATTTTTCTTTAAACTTGCTATTTTCCTTGCAAGAGAAAGAGAGGAGGCAGACAGTTGCTGAATAAGAAAGGCTCTAGAATGGAGAAACAGACTGCTCAAGTAAAAGTACCACAAAGTTGAATGCATACTTCTTTTGAGTTTAGGTGTAGAATTGACTATGTGGAGCTTCTTCCCTCTAGCTGTCAGCTGCCAGTCACTTGCTGAATTTTTGTGTAAGCTGTTGCATATTTAATCCAAATATGCTCTTGCCTAGGTTGCTGCAGCAGTGCTTTGAGGATATGTGCTTTACAGAAGGAGCCAACTCTTCACCCGGGAGTCCCCAGTGACCTCCAGAGTGCTCATTCTCATGGTAGGTAACCAGCACTGGGCGATATTCTGTCTGTGCTTTGCTTCAGGGAGGCAAAATAACGAGTCAAGAACTGCTAAGTGTGTAATGAACCCTAGGCTGGTTTTTCAGTTAAACATGACTCTTGAAATTTTTATATTGTATCACAAATGTCAAAGGACACCAAACCAGCTTGGTTTTTTACAAAAAACATTCTTTTAAGACATCCCATTTTTAAAAAGTGCTTTAAGGGTTTTTTTTAATAATACATTGCGTATGAAAGAAACTTGTGTTTAGGTTATTACTTATATTAAATGCAAAGTGAAGGAAGGCCTAATTCTACATGTCTTGTACATGTAGGTCTTTACAGAGGTCTAAGCCTATCTTACCCCTTCCTGTCAGTGTAAATAAAGTTCATTGGATTATGGACTGCTGCTTTCCATATTTAGTTTGACTACTAGGGTAAGTGGAAACATTTTAGCTGACATGATGGACTACAGATCAAAGCTTTAAATCTATTGCTTTTTGTTCTAAGCTATCAAACATCTCTGATGTGTTGTCATAGCATGCAGCTCTGTGAACAGTAAGAGCAACGTTGGTTTTTTTTCCCCTATGGGCTGAAACAACTACAGTTATCTCTAATCAAACTTTTCACTTTTTGAAAACACATTGTGGTAGGGCCTTTGGGACTTGGATCTGCTCATGACTGCAGATGTTAAATTCCCATGGTGTGGTATCAATAAGATGTACAACTGCTTATGTCGTCTCTGCACTTTGCAATGGGTGCATCCTGCTTTTCCCAGAACACAGGCTGTCAAGGACCTTGATGGACTCTTGCAAATAAAACGTTGCCTGCACTCTGCTTGTTCCTTTTTGGGGGTGTATCTCTTATTTTTTTTCATAGTCCAAGGTTGACCAATGTGATTTCATTACAAAACATGGAGGATGATGAACAGTTGTGTCATTTCATGTCATGAATTATTCCATTTCAGAGCTATTTTAAGGGTCTTTCACTTCCATACTGTGCCAAATTTTCATTTGTTGTCCAACAATATCCTGTGGTGAGAGATTACTGTGTTTTCCTCCCTCTGTGCTAATTTAGCCCACGTGCTTACACAGATCTGATCCAGGCCACACAAACCATTGAATCAGCTCAACTGATGAAGCAGAAAACTCCAACATGAGACAGAAATCTTCATGATAGCATTTGTTTAAAAGGTTTCCTAATGTGGGACTACACTCCTAAAACCACAAGGTCTTTTGGAAAATCTATTCAACGTGTGTTTCTCAGTCACAGAGCTGTTGAAAGTGCCAGCATGGTGCTTGTCTCTGTTTCCCAATCTAGTGGAAATGGCCCATGAAGCGTTATATAAACACAGTGGGGGCAAGAACATCAGCTTAGTTGCCTGATTTTTCAGCTGGGGTTAGTAGTCAGCAGCTTCTGTTGCACTGATTGCTTTCATCTGCTCTTGAATGCAAACGTCCCTTTGGTATTGATGACTTGTAAAAATCCAGAGTGGTCCTTAAAGCGCACCAAGAACAGTTACAGGGAGCTCAGACACCTTAGAACCACACATCCAAACGGACTGAGTCAATTGAGTTAATTTCTTACTCACATTCTACACTGTGTTTTGAAGAATAGTTTTTTTCCAAATTTCTACTTTTTGAAGAGTATGTCCCTATTTTTGTTTTTTGCTGAGCAGAACAACAAATTTGGTGCATCTCTGTGTATCAGTCTCTTCCACATGGTTTTGTTTTAGCTTTCCAGCAGTTTTTACTGCCTCCTGCAACCAGCTTCAAGCAGGCACCTATACCAACTTTACTGAAGCACAAAGGGATGAACCTAAAAATTATAATAAAGAGAAAAGTATGACTCTCTAACTAAATCTTCTAAGTTAGTGGTTCTGACTTGACCTCACAGTTACAAATCTGCCATCCCTGTGTATTTTTCTGAAATGGATCTCTGTTTTCTCAGCGCTCTCATCCATTTTGTTTTTCTAAACCAGACTCTGTAACAAATTCCTGGCTGATGTCTTCTGTTGCCAACTAGATATTTCCTAGTCAATAATTACTTAGTTGTTCTTTTAAAGCACCTTGCGTCATCCTCATTTCTTGTTTGCCCTCTCCTAACTACCTCCTTTTGTTCTCACTCTTCCACTTTAGGTGGAATTGAACAGAGCAGATGCAATGAGATATTAGTGAGAATTCATGAAGGTTATACACCACACCTTATCCACCCTCATTCCCTAATTAGTTAGAATCTGACTGGTGATCTTATGGGTTGTTTGCTTTTAAAACTTTGTCACTCTCATCCTGGGGCCTGGTGTAGGCACACTTGCCATCAGCAGTTATCCTTTAGGGCTCTGCCAGGCCTCTAACCCATGGTCTGCTGAGGACCATCTGCTCTTTTCATGTGCCTTTCTACTGATACCAAAACAATTTCCATCTGACTGCCCTGTGCTTTGCACAAATAAAAACCTTTTGGGCTGCTGCTTGTAAAGTAGATTTACCTTCAATCACCATTTATTAAATCTCTGTCCATTAAAAACCATAGCTTGCAGAAGCTGTGTGCATTAAGCCTGATTATAGAGTCAGTAGAGAAGAGGGAGGGGGCCAGCAGTTGCTATCAGTGGATTGCCTTGTTTTTCTGCTTGGCTGGCTGCTGGTAACACTTGTGACAGGGTCCATATTGGAACAGAAGTCTCATTATTTGGCTTTGATTTTGTTCTGTGCGTTTGTCTTACTTTTTATTTAAGCTGTAATTTAGTGATTGTTGGCTTCAGGAAAAAACCTGCTCAGACTACGTGGCTGAAATCAGGGTTTTCTTTGATGCTGGGGTGCTAGTTCCATTATGGAGGGGATTAAGAAAGGAAAGTTCACAGGTTCCTTACGGAGGATGAGTGGCTCCTTCAAACGCACTTCATTTAAAGGCTCAGCATCTGGATCACAGAGGGTAAGTCTGCAATTACCCAAATAGTACAGCCAGAGGGAAACAGCTGGAGGCACTGTTTGGCCCTCTTACTTCTAACAGCTGGTACTGTTATAAATGAGAACTATTCCCTTTGTGCTTGTTAAGTCTCAGAGGTATCAGTTGTGTTCATTGCACTGATTCCAGCAATTAATCTTATTCCTGTTACAGGACTTCTTTCACAAGTTCCTGTCTTAAGGGTCTTTGGGTTAAATGCCACTGTACAGGACTAGCCTGTTATTATTCCTGTCCATATCAAAATAGTTTTGATGACTGTTGATATCAGTGTTCCTCACCAATTTAGATGCAGTAAATGCAAAGGCTGGTAGGATGTATAAAAGATTTTGATGTGATTCACTGAACTACAGATGACAGAGTCTATGAGAAAAGAGTCTGTAGTTAGAGTATTTGCTGTGTAGATTATGAATGAAAAAGGAAAGTAGGAGAAAGAACACATGAGTGACTGCTTTGTAATGTATGATCTCACTGTTGTTATCATAAGATTGCAGGTAGTAAATTAATAGTAAAAATTAATTTCTTAACTGTTTTCAAGCTGTTAAGAGAATTTATGTACATATTTTGTCCATAGATTGATAGATTCTTTTTACAATAAGTACAGACTAACTCCAGCTCCGTATTACTTACATTCCAGCTCAACTGGCCCTTTTCAAACTGATTCCACTCAAATAATGAGAAATAGATTTTTGTCTACTCTTTGAATCCCTGCAGCCCTCTTACCTCTAATGTCTGCTGATTGCTATCACAGTGTTAGAGTCAGATTCTAATTGAAGGGGTGAATGGAAATTTGAAGGAATATAAACTGAGAGAAAAATGCCACACAGGCAACTAAGTATGTATTAAAATGTTTCCTTCTCTAAGTTAAAGATGGTTCTGCACTATGTGCAATATTGGTCATAGTCTGTGATTGTAAGAGAGAATATGTCTGTGGTTGGGGACTTCTTCAGCAGAGACTGATGGTCATGGGCCATTACCAGGGGAATTCCAAGCATCATCTCAGTATAAAGTAACTTACAGATTTACAGTGATGGTTTTTATGTACTGACTGTGGAACCTAGCCCTTCTGTCTGCTAGAGATTGTCAGGCTGCATGCAATACCTGTATTACAGGCCCAATTACAGAAAATGAGTGCTAGATGGGAAAAAAAAAATTGCTTCAGCTGTAGTTTCCTTGGCACCAGGGCCAAGCCCAAACATCTGGAATCAAAACAGAAGGTGTTTGTGGTGGGTTCATTTTTTCCTCCTTTGATTGATGTAAGGCAAAGTGGCAAAATAAAATGTCAGTTAATGCTTAGCAAGTGTTATTTTGGGTAACTTTTCCCACTGTTTGCACAGTTGCATCCTGGTGCCTCATGACAAACCAGGCTGTCCTTCAAGAATCTCAAGTTTCAAGAATAAGTGTGTATTGCTTGCTTTGTGACCCAGATGGCTCCCAGCTTCATAGGCTGGTATTATTAACTTCATTTATTGAATAAAACAAAGAAATAATTATAAAGTAAGTTGGAAAGTATTTCCCTTTTAAAATGTCCCCAAGCCTACTTTGATACTGCAAAGCATACAGCATTTTACTTCTCGAAAGGAATAAAGTCAGAGTAAAATACCCAGGCAAAAATTGCTTAATTTTGTCCCATTATTCCCGTGGGAAAGACTAGTCAAGTGAAGGTAGAAGGAACACAGTCCAGATTTTGATTTTCTTGACTCCTTATTATAAGGAAATGTTGTCTTTCAAAAGCTGAAAATTCCTTTCATGGCTTGCTTCTTTTAATCTTCCTAATTCTTTTAGTGTTTATTTGCTTTAATGTCCATTTCAGAAACAGAAACTTTACCTTTTATGAAAGAAGTTATTAGAGTTGAATAAAAAAATTAGATTTTATGCTTATTTAATAGGCTGTGAGTGTTACTTCTGCCAAAAATGACGTGGGTTGGCTCTCTGATGTCTGTAGCATGCTGTCATCATGCAGGCAGGTGAAGTGCTCATCTCTGGACATCTTAGGCAGGAAACTGGGCACTGTTGTGTTTAAGAGTATTTTGTAATGAAT